ATACAATGTATGGATGTAAGAATCGGGTCTTGCAATGGATTCCGGATGTTAGAAACTGGGTTCCAAGGATTATGGACTATGATTGAAGTAAAGATCTTCACTTATGTTATGTTTTTAAGCTTACATGGTTTGGGTTGATAAGGGATCACACTCGGGTATATGCATGGTGAGTTTACACAGTGATTTGATAGCTTTGGAACGACTCTTGGCACGTTTGAGGACGAACATATATTTAAGTGGGGGAGAATATAACGACCTGACCGGTCGTTTTGAGCATTTGTATTCCGTTCAGTTGTTTAAAGTTTTGAGTAGCTTCATATGAGCTATTATGACTTGTGTGAATCGTCGGTTTTGGTTTTCAGGTGATTTGGGATTGATTTGGAAGAATGATTCTCAACTAGGAAGTTGAAAGAGTTGACCAAGTTTGACTTTTGTATATTTGACCGCGGATCGGAGTTTTGATGGTTCTGTTAGGTCTGGATAGTGATTTTGGACTTGGGTGTATGCCCAGATTTGCATTTGGATGTTTCTTGAAGGTTTTGGCGTTAATTGGCGAAAGTTGGCAATTTGAAGGTTTTGGAAAATTCATAGGTTTGATGGGAGTTGAATTTGATGATATCGGGTTCAAATTGTGGTTCTCAGTATTGGAATAGCTTTATTATGTTATTTGGGACTTGTGTGCAAAATTTGAGGTCATTTCGGGTTGATTTGTTAGGGTTCGACATGAGTTTTGGAAGTTGAAAGTTCAAAAGTTTATTAAGTTCGATTTGAGGTGTAATTCTTGGTTTTGATATTGTTATGTGTGATTTGAGGCCTCGAGTAGGTCCGTATTATATTTTGAGACTTGTTTGTATGTTCGAACGGGGTCCCGAGGGGCTCGGGTGAGTTTCAGACGTGATTAAGATCATTTCAAATGGTTTTTGTATTACTGATTGCTGGTATTTCAGTTGTTCTTCATGATCGCGAAGATGAGGCCACGATCACGAAGTGATTCTTGGAGCCGGGTATTTTCAAATCCTTCGCGTTCGCGATAGGTTTACCGCATTCGCATAGAGTTGGGGTCTGGTCTTCTTCGCGTTCGTATCCACTTCTACGTATTCGCGTAGTGTTGAGCTGAGCTGGGCAGGTCGATGGTTTCCTTTTCGCATTCGCGATGTTTCTCCTGCGTTCGCGTAGGTCTGTATGATGTGTGCATCACGTTCGTGAGGCTTGTGCCACGAACACATAGAGTTAATTGAGGTAGTGTAATTTTTATTCATCGCGAACGCGAGTATTGTTCCGCATTCGCGAAGGGTTCACCTGGGCAATGCTTATAAAGTACTCTATTTCGAAGATTTTGGTCATTTTATCATATTTTGAGTTATGGAGCTCGGATTTGGGCAATTTTGGAGGCAATTTTCATCACATGGATTGGGGTAAGTGTTTTCTACTTGGTTTTGATTATATTCTATGATTCGATCTTCGATTTTGGCATTTGATTGATGATTTCAAAATAGAAATTGGGGGTTTTGTCTAACCTTTCCTAAAGTAAATTTTTGGATTTTGCACATCGATTCAGAGTCGTATTTGAGTGAAATTAGTATGGTTGGACTCGTAATTGAATGGGTTATCGGATTTTGTGAATTGCTCGGGTTTACCTTTTGGTTTACTTTGAATTTTTGATTAAAGATTCGACCTTTATCGATTGGGTTTGTCTCCTATGGCATTATTTGATGTTTTGAGTTACTTTTGTCTAGTTTTGAGTCGTTTAGAGGTTGATACGCAGGGGATGGCATTTCTAGACTGTTGTTTGGCTTGCTTGATATTATGTTGGCTTGTTTGAGGTAAGTATCATATCTAAACTTGGTTGAGGCACTAGCTGCCTAAGGTTTTTGTGATAGCTACGTACTATGGGTGCGCACATGCGTAGGGATTGAGCCCATGTGCGAGCACCGGGATATTTATCCATGCTCAGGGTAGTAGTGCTTAGGCTATGATATGCCTTGAATTGACTGTCAAGCTTTAAATTGTGATGTTTTCATATTTGTAGCCTCATTGTGAACTATTTGATCCATATTTGAGGTTACATAGAGGATAATTCCCTGAATGACTTTAATATTTGCTATTTTATTGAGGAAATTACCGATTTGAGCTATGATAGCACACTTTGCACATGTATACAGTTTAGCATGTCCTTATACCAGTCCAGGAGCATGAAATTTGATATTCATTCATCATACACATGTATTCTTGTATATTCGCTTATGTGTGCTATGATTTGGACTGGATGCATGTGAATACGCTGACGAATTGTATTGTATTGCCTGTGACCATGCAGGCGGATTGTATTGTTATGCATGTAGCCATGTCAGGTGGATTGTATTGTTATGCTTGTGACCACGCCGGGCGGATTGTGTTGTTATGCCTGTGATCACGCCGGGCAAATCCATTATATTGAGCATGTGACCACGTCGGGCGGATTATGATATGGAGCCTTTGACCACGACGGGCTAATAGCACGTTGAATTGGCCGTGCTTGCATGTGGATACGGATCCATCCCCCTAGGGTCACCCTCTCATGTTTCTCTCTTGATGGTGTACACACGGATTGTGAAAAAACGGCAGATTTCTAGTTGATGTGAGCTCTAGAAGAGTTGGTTATTGTTAGTTGGATCGGGTTGCATGCTACCACAAGCTTTATTGGCTTATTGTTATTTGGATCGGGTTGCACGCCACAACAGACTGATATTTGGTTATTGCATTTGATCTTTACTTGTAATTTCTTTGATTGCATACCTGATTGACTTACATATCTTCCTTTTATGCTGGACTATTGATGAGTAGAACACTTTAAAAATAAAGAATTGTGAGTGGTTTTTCCTATGTTTTCTTGATTTGATCATATATTTGTTCTATACTTGTTGGATTTAAGAACTTGTATAGGTGACTGGTGAGTATCATTTATAATTTTTGCTTCTTTTATCTCGCAGAGGTTAGTTATGATACTTATTGAGTACATGGAGTCGGTTGTACTCATACTACATTTTTGCACCACGTGTGCAGATCTTGGAGCTGATGTTGATGTGCACGGCGGGAGCCGACATTGAAGATGTACCTGCGTTCCGGTTATAGCTTCCACTTATCCTTGGTAGCTTTAGATCTGCAAATATGTTTATGTATATTTCGAACAGATGATGTATTTATTTCGTACCAACTTTGTAAATTCTAAGTTTTAGAAGCTCATGATTTGTATTACCAGTCTTTGGGATATTGTATAGAGTTTCAGTTATTTCATTTATAGATCCCTTATTATTTCATTATAGTTGTATTGACTGTTATTTGGCTTACCTAGCGGGTTAGGTTAGGTGCTATCATGACTGGTTGGATTTTGGGTCGTGACAGTGAATTATTCTTAAGATGTTTACACAGATAAGATTGAAAGAAAGAAGATTTTTTCTTACCATGGTTCTTGGCTCTCCACCCGTATTTGGGAGCCATTTCTTTCCATCATCGGGTATTCGGAGTAGTGATATCCAATATTTTTTGGAGGTTCAGACGCAATGAAATGATGGTATTCACAGTTGGAGGTTCAGACTAGACGTCGACCTCTTTGGTTTTGTTTTTCTTTGGGCCTCCACCGAAGAGAAGACCAATGATTTCGGAGATAGCAGTGTAAGAAGACATGATGGTAAAAGATCAATGAAGAAGTTCTTACTGAGAAAGTTGAGTATTGCATAAAGGTTCTAAGGACATTTAGAGAGCGAGTTATGAAAATAGTGAAGGTAAAGAGTAAAAATGATGAGTAGTGGAGAAGTTATAGACGACAAAAATCGTGGTCATGATTACCTCGAAAATCGGTGAAAATACTTGCTGAATCACAGAGCAACACGTGTTCGGGTTATTAAATGCGAGAAGACGCGCGTCCTTTCGAATGTCAGAGACTGTTCAGGAACTTTGCTGCCAAGAAAGGAATTCTTATCTACTTCTAGGTAACACTAAGTTGCGTCACCGGAAAGTAGGGGGACTATCTGTATAGGGTAAAACTGGTTTATAACAACTGGGCGAATAGTAGTGTGACACGTGGCATTGGAGACAAGTAGGATATGATTCAGCAAACAGCTGTCACCGGTTGCAAATAGCTAGCGATCTTCGTCGAACAAGCTCTAAAGACAGAACAACTGATAGCAAAGAGTTATCGCATTGTCATCGAGTAACGTTCATTGGGCAGCCGTTACAGAGAAAATTTGCATTTAAATCCATCCGTTATGAACCCATCAATGACCATTTTATTCTCATTTAAGAGGAGCTTGATTTTATGATCTTGTCTCTCTAAATAGAGCTATAAGTAGTAGGGATAACAACCATTGTAGGGACATGAAACATTTATCTTTCACAATTGCTTTTACTTTTACTCTCGGAAAGACTGAGTTCTAAATCTGGCTTGTCATCTCTTTTAATTTCAATCGTTAATCTTATTTTTGTTCTTATTTATTTATCGTTTTTGGATCAAATCGACTAGTTTGTCTATAAACCACGCTATAAATTCAACTGTATCATTTTATCGATAAATACATCACAATAGGAATTTGATTTTGTTTCAATTTGTCGCCTGGATTAGAATAAAGTTTGTTGTACGCTTTTACCTCATAATAACTACAACACTTAATTGTTGATATTCTATGGAATTTCATATTGGACAAAGGTGAAATAATATTATGCAAAGATTGGAACAGGCAGAAAGAAATTTTCATTTAGATCAGATTTTCGAAAATCTGACAGTCATTGCGCATGGTGTCTACATCAATTCAGTAAATACATAATATCTTACATACATTATTATCGCTAAATCATAATTATTTAATAATATATATTTTTACCTTAATTTATTACTTATCATAACAAGTTGATATGATTTAGTACAAACATCAACTGCAAGTAAATTTTTACCATAGTGCGCCCTCCATGAGCCACACAAATAGAGGTAATTTATAGTCACTTGAAGTCCATACAAAGGGGTAAGATAGTCGCGTCGGTTAATTATTACTCTAATATTACATTTATGCTTGCCAAGCCAGTTATTGTACAACTGTTTAAGCAAAACCAAACTCTTTCATCATAACACAGCCCAAAGAAAGAACTAAGATTAATGAACGTTTACTGTACAAGCTGCAAGAACAAAGCACACTGAGTCCCAGAAAAGGGAATATAGCAATGTAGTGTATGCTGGTTACAAAAGCAAAAGCTTAGGATTAGAAACCAAGCAACTCCACAGCCCTGTCAGAGAGGCTCCATAAAGCTGGTGCAAATAGAGGAGTGATCCTTGGCAACGTGGGATATGTTAGCGTTCCGAGTAAAAACCAGTTAAAACTTAGGAGAGCAACTGCATCAGATGCGGGTCTGTTCTTGATGGTTGAGAAAAACTGGACAACACTCCACAAGGACATGCCAACGACAGTAAATAGCGCGAGGACAAGAGGCATGCATGCATCTTCAGCTTTCCATACGATCGTTCCAACTAAAAGTGACAATATTGCACTAAAAAGGGTCTGTGTAAAAGCTAGCTCCCTTCGTTGGTGTAACACACTACTTGTGTCAACATCCTCGGAGGTGGTAGGAATACATGGTTTGACATATTGATAGGATCTAGCTCCCATAAAATCACGGTTTAACGTAGTTTCACTTTTGCTTTTATCTTCCAGGGCATCCTCTTGCATTCTTTCGTGGTCAATGGTCATACTCTCGATACCACTTGATCTCCAAGATGGAATTGCATTGCCGTCGCCATGCAATATTTGGCCATTGCCTATATAAACATGGTCTCTGTGGCCCCAAAGTGCTTTACCATGACTTTCATTCAACCGTTGATTTTGTGCCTTCAGATCCTGAAGCTATATCAAATACAAAATTCAGTCTTTCCTGTCTCAAAAGTTGCATTATCAAGAGCAGAGGAAAAATTGGAACTCAGAGGACCATTATAGCAGATTTTGAAGCTACCAATTTTCAGTGATCAATCTACCTCAATGTCTCTCTTAATAAGTCCAACATTTCTGAAGTAGCAAGAAATAAAGATCTGAACATAAAAAGGTCATTCAAAACCAAAAGTGTGACATCCACCCATCACCCACAGAATTGCAGGGTAAACAGCACTTAAGAAAGGAATCCCAACTCATCCGCGTTGATGGGATGGACATCCAACAGCTACCCCAAGCTCAGTTTGCATTGACTCAATAATTAAAAGAAAGAAGTAACTTTGTGAGTTCTGACAATACATTAAAGGTTTAATAGTGTAAAAGCTGCACTATCATGATTTCGATCAAATGCACGAGGAAAATCAGCAAAAAGTGGTAGATGAGCAGTTAAAGCTTCACTTAAAGCGTCCCTGCCTTTATTGACTTCCCTTAATATTAACTTTCGTCAACTTGAGTTGGGGTGCTGAACACTTCCAAGGGCAATTGAATAGCTGAAAGATTTAAATACCCGATTCATTAGTTGATACGTAATTTTGCTAGGTTACCGTGGTATAATTGATATTCATAAGAAACGGATGAGAAATCAACGTCAAGGACACAGCTATGCAAACAGGAAGGTTTGGTGAAGAATAATCAAATAAAATGCTATTCAGGACTTTTCAGATGCAATATGATGTGAAGTGATGTGAAAGCAAGGACAAGAGGGGAAATATGAGTCCTTGAACCTTGTTCTGTGGCTTTTGGTTAAGTTCTAGCTTTTTTAACAAGTATATATTGCTGATGGTATTTTTGTGAAAAATGCACAAGGTAGCTAAACGATGAGTCTATGAAAGTTTCTTCTAATATTCCTCATCCTATTTTGCGCTCTTACTTGCCCTAGAAGTCTAGAAATGGAAGACTTTTTTTAACAAAACGTATTCTTTTATGGTTTTGTAAAGAAATAAATAGGTTGGGTATGTCATAAAACATATGAGGATTATCCTTAAAATTAAGGTGTATGCATTAAGGGTGCAAAACACAAAGAACTCGCCTATTCATAGACTATTATCCTTCCTTTCGCCTTTTTCCTCTAAATTAACTATCGACCCAGCACCCATTTTCAGAATGCTGAATGGTCACCATAATCACATTGCTCTTTGTTCTCATTCTTGGTCCCTATATTTCTAAACATCCATTATTCATCCAATGACCTGAAACACACAGATTCAAAACAAAGCTCTAATTCATAGAGGCAAGCGGTGATCATGTAAACTCTTTGTCTATTCAGCTCCGCTCCTTCCTAAATTAAATCAGAATGTTGCACTTCCTGGATAAAATATTAACCTGGCCCTCCAATTGACAAAGAAAATTGGTGAAAGTATATTAACCTGGCCCTCCAATTGCTCAATTTTGAGTATCGCCTCATCATGTTCATCCTCAAGTTCTGCTAACATGACCTGCATTATCTTTTTATCTTTGATGGCTACCTGCAGTCTCTTCTTAAGTTCCTTCCTTTCCCATAAAAGGTTCTCTATCTCTGTCTGCATTTGCTGAAGATGCATTTCCAGCTGCACATGTATTTTACTCACGTCAGTTGAGAAAATCAAGTCATACCATAACTCCTCAAAATGAAGAGTATACATTTAACACATATCATTAACCAGATATATGTGACACTAAACGAAAAGGAAAAGCTAGTTATAAAGAGAGTATGGTAAGACAGCCATTATAGGTGATTCTTCTTGCATCCCGTAATATCCTAATAAACTAAAAGTTATTTACTGCCAAGATCTGAATGAAGAAAGTGGCAATTTGAATACAACAGATCTTTATAGGGAAGAAACTAGTAGCTTTCAACTACTAACACGGCAGAGAATTTCAAAGTTAATGTGGCATTAAAGTTTTGGTTCAATGGGGAATAGGACAGGAAGTGCCGTAATGATACTAAAGTACTTGAAGCATGACTCTCTCACTTGAGAAATCATTCCATGAAGACAGCAGGTGAAATTAGAGCTGCCTGTTAAATCTACAGAGAATATGCAGGACTACGTGCAAGCTATACAAGTAAAAGCTGGATAAGACGGAAAAGCAGAACCGATCCTCTATGGTAGAAAAGGCTATGGGTCTCCCTCCACAAGGTGCACAAAGAGAAGACCACAAAAGATCTAGCTAAAGTATCTTGTCAATCATCCCTACTCCTCTTCCTTAAGATTTCTTCTGCTCCCTTCATGGCACTACCTAACACAATTCCAGCTTGCAGATCTCTTCATTTAGAAGCTTTGATACCGAGGAAGAAAAATTAATGACAGCATTATCAAGTGAGCCTCATAAATGATTTTGACATTAAAATTCAAGCATCAAATTTCAGAACGCTATTTTATAATTATAAAAGCATCCTTGAAAAGCTATGAAAACTATAAAATCCAGAACAATTAAAAAAAAAAAAAGCCTTCAGGTCTCCACTAACCCCCAGAGGAGAAACACTGATGGTCTCCAATAAAAAAGAATTAACAAGGGAACAAGCGTAACAGGGTATATATATATACATATCCGATCCATACATATGTTTGTTATGTGTCTTTTACTAACAAGAGGTGGACCAGAATCAGAGGAAGAATAAATACTCGAAGCAGCAGGATAAAAAACATACCAAATGGGAAAAAAACATGTTTCAGCAACATCTCAAAAACTAATACTCCTATGTTAAAAGGAAACACAAGAAATTCTTGCAAAATGTAACTGACCATCCTTTCCCTCTGTAGAGCAGTTAAACTTCGTATTGGCAGGGACAGAATAGCAATAGCCCAAATTATCAGTCTCCAGAGTAAGCTGGCATGAAAACCCATAGCAGCTCTCAGCAGCTCTGTCCAGGTTTGGATAACAATGCATATCGTTCTCACACCGAAGAAGCAAGTGAGTTTGAGCAGTGACAAAGGCTTGATCAGCACGATCGTGACAGTGTTGACCAATTCAAGAAACAGTGCCATCTATACTTCCCAAACTAGTCAAATATACGCCATCTGCATAAACGTTCAAGTCCTCAAAATCCTGGTAGATATGTAAATTCACAGACCGAACAAATTACAGCCTTCAATAAGAGTGCACCAGATATATTTGACAAATATTTAGAACTTTCTCGGCATAAGGTAAACCAGTTTGAGGCAATAACACTGAACCACAACATAGAAAAATATACCATAGTTATTGGGAAAACCGTTTCCTCAAAGTTGGGAGCAACAAACTAAAAAGCATTTGTCCTTAGTTATAATGCAAGAGGAAATAAAACAGTTGCAGACTTGCTACTGCCCAATCAGTTCAGTCATCTCTGAAAATGTCCAGTGCAGTAAAACCAGTGAAACCAAAGGATTATTTTTTCAGATCGAGCGAGCTAGTTAAATATCTTCTAGAATTATCTCGATTATTCGATCATGAACAGAACCGACCAATATGATTTGCTTCCCTGGAGACTATATGAGAGTAAGGCAGAAAATTTCATCCACATTTTTCATACAGATTGAATAACAATGAAAGCCACCAGCTAACTTGAGACCAGGTGAATCAGAACTAATATTCAACACTAAAAAGGCTTGAAATATATATCTGCTAAACATTTAACAAAAATAAGGGAAACATCCTGAATGGCATTTGAACATCAACCTAGTTACACCAGCAACAGTCAGCATCATCTATCCAAATTGAGTAAATTCAGAGCAAATTTACTATAGATATGTCTTCTATCACTACAAAATGTCTCTTAATGATGGAAGCTTCTTTCATATGAGTTATGACCAAGCTCCTTGAGACTGAAAGAGAATTTCATTTTCTTAACTATCATTGTTCAAGTCCACCTCTCCAACTACACTATAAATTAGAACTTTGTTTTTTCTCCTTATATTCATCAGATGCAAGTTAGGAAGTAAATTACACTATCATTAATTATCTTAATTAGTGCAAAAATTGAAATTAATTTTGACGATACTCTTTCAATATCACTTTATTGGAATGATGGAGCACTGATTTACTAACACTATAAGGTGCACGATGGGCAGAGGCGGACCTATGTAGTAATTAGAGTGGTCGCCGGCACCTGGAGAGTTCGGCAAACATACTGTGTATACATGTATATATCTTTAAAAATAGTGATATATTAATAGTGGAACCCGATATATAAAACAGATTTTGGTTGAATGCAAAAATGCACCCGCAACCTTCAAATCCTGGGTCCGCCTCAGCTAGCAATGGGCAACTATTGAAAATTTCCTAATTAACGACATAGCCATATACATGATGAATCTAAATCTAGTACTAAGGAAATACCTTATATTCTAGAATCTTTCCGAAGCCTAAAAAGGGATGGAAAGGTGATACTTATGATAAAAGAGAAGTCCCCATTCCAACATTAACCGTATTGTCTTGACATAGGCCCGTATTCACAATTCTCTGTATTCAATAGCTCCCATGGTGACTGACTCAGTTTTAAAGACTTTTATTTGTTTTTTGACAAAAAACATTTTGGGACATCCCAAAAGACTTCAAATATATATCACACACAAGGTACGCTTAATCTTTTGGTATTTCAATATTAAATTTCAGCCGTATATTATGGCAAACTAAGACGCCATCACTTTTATACAGGTCAGCAATCTCTATAAGTAACTTGTCAGATTTAACTTATATACACTAACAATGAAGAACTTTTACACTAACAGTGTATTGAAACATGTCGTAACAAGTTACCTGCCAGATTATTGTTCCCACTTATTATGCTCATATCTGGACTTAACCTGGCGGCGTAAAAGTTATTTTACATTGAAAGTGTATAAAAGCTGGAACTCATAACTTGTCGTATTATAGGAACATTTTCCACGCTCCATTTCCTATCACACCAAACTAGAAAAGCCTTACATCCACTCTCCGCACAAAATCTCTAAAAATAAGGGAAAAAGAGTGAATGACAATGCAGTTCTTTCTAGTTCTCAAGATAAACTGGAAACGAAGACACACTTAGTACAGTCAAATTATCAAGCCTTGAAACCAAGAGATCCAAGAAACTCCCACTCACCACCCGAGAACAAAACATAGAAACTCAGATAAATAAATAAATACAACATCTCTGAATGTAACAAGGAAATTAAGAAGCACATAGCAGAGTTCAAAAGTTATTTTTAAAAAAAAAGGCAAAAGAAGAAAGCAATGAGAGAGAGAGAGAGAGTTTACTTTGTGAGTGATGGGGATTTTGGAAGCAGAATGCGGAAGGGTCTGAGCAAAGATCTTTTTCCAGAGTGGGGTCGCAGCAAAAATGTAAGAACCAAGGAAGAAGTGGGGTGTTGACACGTCCATCCCGCAGAGACGGACACGTTATCTTAAAAAAAGGACTTCAAATCTTTGAATGGATAATCAAGAGCGCCGCCATCTTTACAAACTGATATCACCTCCTCCAAGACTGGTCAGAGGTGTTACGTTGCACCTGATTTTGAACTAGTCACATTCTAACAACAAAATTTGTGTTAAGAAAATAATTAAGATTAAAAAATTGAGAAACAAATATAGTATTTGAATTATATTTTTTTAACTTAAATGTATTTGATATATTCGTCACGAGAGTCTTGATAGCGCCATGAACAATAACTATTATACATAAAAATAACTTTGATCTGAAAAGCTTCAATTCTTGCAATTTATAAGAAAAATTGTAGCCTTTGATCCACAGGCTTGTAGTACAATATATTTTCTCCGGTTCTATTTAATCTGCCAAATTAGTTTAAAAAAATTGGTTCAAAATATTTGCCGCCTTAGAAAATCAAGAAGACGTTAATTATTAATGTTCTAATTCTACCCTTACTATCTAAGAAAGCATATAGTCATTAGTTACTCATTCAAGGAAAAAATAAAATAATTTAATCAAATACCACTATAACTAATGTCATTAAATGATTTTCTTAATAGATATTTCAAATTCTTAAACGACTATTTAGAGTGCAAGGCTCAAACAGTTTGACTTTTGGATCAATTTCGGAATCAAATCATCGTATTTTTAAGATATTGTAGATCTTTCCAAACCCAGAATGTTAGGAAATGATACTACTGCAGCTGCTTTGATTTACCATGATTACCATGATAAAAAATGTCTCAGACTAAATAAATTCACTCTTGAAACACAACAAAAATCGGGGTACGTATCATTATTGTTGACCTGAGCGGTTTTGATTTTGATGATTGGCAAAGGAACATATACATGAACCAGGTCCATAGATAGTGTACATAGGTAACGGGCAGAATCAAGCAAAAGACATGCATGTGAAAGAGATAAGTATAAGTAGTTATTTCTGATAATCCCTGAACGAAAATGTTGCATATTTGATAAGGAGCATGACTACTTACTTGAAGAGAACTCTATCCGAGATAAGGAAAGAGTTAGAAGTTGAAGATAACCAGAACTCTTCCACCAAGGAAGAGTAAAGCATTAGACTTCTAGTTAATCTTTATTTACTAACTCTATATATATCAGTTGTGTTCTCTTTTACAGGCGATGCACACATACTGAAGTTAAGCACAAATTGAGAGCAAAATAGCAAGGCATTTTGTGAGCAATTCCTGTGAGATTTAAGAGTGCGATCCTGAAGCTACACGAACCGGATTGAAGAACCAGCTCCATAAAGAGTTTTATGTGTCTTTCTTTATTTCTAGTTCAAAGTGTAGTAGGCGTTTTGAGTTGTACCTTTAAGCTTTCTAAGAAGCAAATTGTACTAGGTACCTGAGTTGTATCATTCAAGTTAGAGTTAACTTGAAGTAGTCGCAACAACCTGTGGCGTGTTGCTATAAGGGCTAGAGTTAACCCTTAGGTTTGCAAGAGGTTGTAAACTCTAGTTGTATTGTTCAAGCTAGAGTTAGCTTGAAGCAGTCGCAACAGCCTGTGGCTAGTTGCTACAAGGGTTATAGGTAATCCTTAGGGTTTGCAAGAGTTTGTAAACTTTGTTGTTGGCTCATAGTTGTAATGAAGTGTTTGGGAAAAATCCTACTGGGTAGTAGGTCGTGGGTTTTTCACCTTTTGAGCCGGGTATTTTTCACGTAAAATCCTTGTGTTCTTTACTTTCTGCATTATTTATTTTGTAACTGTAGTGTAAGGAACGCATAGAAGAACCATGTCCTTCGATAATCCAGTGCAGGCGAAAATCGGGCACCATACAAATCACCCCCCCTCTTGTGTGGTATTGAAGTATAAAACATCAATTGGTATCAGAGCGGGTTATCCTTGAAGAGGCTAACACATTAGGAAAAGATCAAGATGAGTGCACTACCTGAAAACTTTAAAGAGCAATCCACCACTAGGCCACCACTATTCAATGATCACTACTATTCTTTGTGGAAGGAGAGGAGAAGAGATCACTTGCAGATGACTGATGAGTGCTTCAAATATGGTAAAAAGAACCATATGATCAAGAACTGTTCTATGTGGGAAGTCAAGTGAAAAAAGAGAAATCTGAAAGAAGGAACATGTTCATGACAAGAAGAACTACAACAAAAGGTCATCCAAAGCAATGGTTGCTACTTGGAAAGATAGTTCAAATGAGGACACTAATGATAATACTGAACGAACTCTCATAGCAATTCGAGAATCTGAAGATGAACCTGATGAAGAATCTGAGATAAGTTTTCTGGACCTTAAGGATAAAATTAAACTCCTTTTTAAAGATAGACTATCAAAATTGTTGCTAACTTTAATTGATGAATCTAAAAATATAAGTTTTGAAAAAGAACATTTGTCAAAAGAGTATAACTTTTTAAAAGCAGAATGCAAAAACCTGGAAATAAACGTTTGTAAAACAGAAAAGGAAAATACTGCTTTGAAGAACCAGGTTCATGCACTTGATACAACTGTCTTAGAACTTAGATATGAAAATATAAAGTTAAAGTTAAGGACAGGAAAAGAGATAGCAAGTGATATACAACTCAACCTAGATGATGACTTAAGGAAGGTTAAAGATGAGCTATACAAAAAGGAAGAAAATATAAGAGTTTTGAAAGAGGACTTAACAAAGGTTAAACATGAGCTTGATAGAACATGTAAATGGAACAGGTCCTCCAATGCACTTTTATGGCTACAAGAACTCCATAGTAGCAATAGAAAGGGACTTAGCTTTGGGAACTCTGCACCTAAATGGGATCCCAAAAATAAGTACCTAACACTCCGTGAGAATAAGATTTGCACACACTGTGGAAATACTGGTCACTACAAGAGTGATTACACTGCGAAAGAAAAGGCAGATCAAAAGAACAAAAAATTGTTCTAGGAAAAAATAGGCTGCCAAGTTGGACTAAAAGGAATTTGATTCATCCTTTTGCCTATAGAAAGGGACCCAAACTAGTTTGGATTCCTAAGACTAACCCCTGATTTCCTTTTGGAGGTCCAAGTGAAGGGGAGCAATCAAATATGGTACATGGATAGTGGCTGCTCAAAACATATGATAGGAAGCAAGAACCGGTTCCTTTCACTTGAGGACCTTAAAGGAGGCAATATCTCCTATGGAAATGGGAAAAAAGGTGAGATCATTGGGGTTGAAAAGGTAGATAAGACTGACTTGATAGATAGACTGAAGCACAGTCTAATAAGTGTATCATAATTGTGTGATAGATGTAACATGGTAGCATTCACATCTACCAAATGCTTTGTGATTAATCTTACCACTGAAAAGATAGTTTTGCAGGGAAAAAGAGTCAACAACATATATGTTGTATATCTGTCCACACTTTCAGAAAATGAACTCACTTGCTTAAGTATGTAGGATAATGATCCCCTCTTTTGGCACAAGAGACTTGGACATGCCAGTCTAAGTCAACTAAACAAACTAGTCTCCAAGGATTTGGTGATAGGACTGCCTAACATTAAGTTTAAGGAAGATAAAGTTTGTGAGTCTTGTGAAAGGAGGAAGCAGGTAAGATCCTCTTTTAAAAGCAAGAAAGTGGTAAGCACCACCAGGACGATGGAACTGGTCCATATGGACCAAGGAGAACATTAAGCAGAGGTGGTAAAAGATATGTGATGGTGCTTGTTGATGATTATTCTAGGTTTACTTGGACATTGTATGCTTCTTTTGTTAGAAAAATTCAGAAACAACTAGGTAATCAACTTGCATCAATTAGGTCTGATCATGGCACTGGATTTGAGAATACTAAAATTGCTGAATTTTGTGATGAGCACGGCATAGATCATAATTTCTCTGCTCCTAGGACTCCACAACAAAATGGAGTAGTTGAAATAAAGAATATGACACTTGAAGATATTGCTAGGACTATGCTTCTTTCTAGTAAACTGCCCCATAGCTTCTGGGTAGAAGCTATAAACACTGCATGCTATATCATAAATAGGTGCATGACTAGAGCTCTTGTAGAGAAGACTCCATCTGAGTTACTTAAAGGGAGAAAACCAAACATATCCCATCTTAGGGGATTTGGATGCAAGTGCTTTGTGCACAATAATGGTAAAGACTCCCTAGGTAAGTTTGATCCCAGAAGTGATGAGGAAGTATTCTTGGGACATTTTTCATATAGTAAAGCTTATAATATTTATATAAAAAAAGAACTCTATGTATATAAAAAAATGTACATGTGATTTTGATGAAACTAACATTCTTTCTGAGAGGTAGGGACATAATGATGAAGCAATTGGGCTGGTAAGAAACTCAAATGAAACCACAGCCCAGACTGAAGCTGTAGCAGAGGAAGGAACAAGTCCTTCCACCCAGGGCAACTTGACAGGAGGGACTGAACTAAGAGGATTTGATCCTCAAACCTCTAGGGAACCTGTCCATGAACATGTTCCTCAACAACAAAATATTGAAGGAACATCTAGGGGAATCCACCTGGTTGTGAAACCTTACAAGTATCAAAGTTCTCATCCCATTGAGAACATAATTACTGATCCAATATCTGGAATCAAAAGTAGATCTTCTTTGAAGAATCTTTGTGCCTTTGATGCTTTTTTATCTCTGATTGAACCTAAAAATGTTGCTGAGGCTTTGCAAGATGCAGACTGGGTGAATACAATGCAAGATGAACTCAATCAAGTTTGGCATCTAGTACCAAGACCCAAGGACAGATCAATAATTGGCACAAAATGGGTGTTCAGAAATAAACTTGATGAAGATCGAACAGTTATAAGGAACAAGGCAAGATTGGTGGTTCAAGGATATAATCAAGGGGATGGCATAAACTATGATGAGACTTTTGCTCCAATTACAAGATTGGAAGCAATTAGACTTATAGCCTTTGCTGCTT